CTCTGTCAAATAAATAAATAAAATCTTAAAAAAAAAAAAAAGTGTCATGGGCTCCCTCTAGCTGCATGCAGAGAACAGACCGAAGGGGTGGGGGCGGGGGTGGAGGCGCAGGAAGTGGCCAAGTACAGATCATGTTAGGAAAGCGGAATCAGCAGCCTTTGCCAGTGGATTGACTGTGAGGTGTGAGGGGAAGGGAGTCAAGGACGAATCTAAGGCAGGGCTGAGTGACAGGTGAATGGTTGTGGCATTTACTGAAATGGGGTCCACCACAGGGGAGAGGGGAATTACACCTCATCTAATGGAATTGTTACCACAAACTACGAGGTAAGTACTAGATGAGAAAACTGAAGGTCATGGTCTGCACCTAGTGAGCTAAGATGCCAGCCCAGCAGTGTGACACAGAGTCCACCTGAGTCGCCCCACATCGACTGCAGCAGAGCCTGGTGGGGACCAGGAGCCGGAGAAGAGCAGCTCCCACCTGACAGGGGCCAGGGGTCAGGGGTCACAACCTGCCCTGTGAAAAAGGGCTGTTATTGGGCTGTTTTTTATTTCCTGCCATTATTTCCTCCCTGTTCTCCCTCTGGAATGAATAAAGTACTTTTGAAAAATGCCAACCCAGTGATTAAGGAAATTCTGGTCCTTACAATGGAATGCTCTGCAGTCATTAAAAAGATTAGGGTCCATCTGTGTTTCTTGATCTGGAAAGACGCTCCTGGTCATACTGCTCGTGGGGAAAGAAAACTGCAGAACGGCTTAAGACAGTCCCCCTTTTGTTAGAAAAAACACAACCCTCATATTCCAAAACAGCCCTAGCCATAGGTAGTTGTATACCTTGTATACTCACCCGAGTGGATGTGAGCATGCAGTTTGAGGTAGTGCTCCCGCCGGAAGAACTTCTTGCACACCTGGCACTTGAACCTGCTACCACTGCCGTGCGTGGGCAGATGACGCCGCAGGTAGCGCTCGCAAGGAAACACCTGGCAGAAGAGAGGAGCTGGCTTAGGCCTGACTCACTAGCCCTCACCACCCCCTGAGCTTAAGGGGCCCCTCATTTCCCACACTTGCAGAAACAATTTCCTTTCTGCCCACCAGGGATCAGGGCCCAGCGTCAGGCTCCGCCCTTAGAACCTCACAGCTCCCACGACTCACCCATAACGCATGCTCCGAGCTCCTGCCAGGCTGCTTTTTCTACCCAGAAGGCCTTTCTCTCTTAGCCTGACAAATTCCCACTTGGCTGTCAAGACCCAGCTCAGGTGTCCCTCTTCTGTGAGGCCCTCTCTGACTCTCTAATGCCAAACAAGGCAACACAAACTCTGCCCTTGAATGTTCATATACGTTTTGTTTGTTTATTTATTATTTTTTTAAGTAAACTCTACCCCCAACGTGGGGTTCGAACTCACGACGTCGAGATCAAGAGTCGCATGCTCTACCACCTGAGCCGGCCAGGTGCCCCTATTCATCTACGTTTTTAAAGTCACCATCTAACCCACTGAATTATATAACCTGTTGCTTATATGAGATCTCTACAAGGGCAGAGAAGAGGAGCTTTCATTCACCAGCACAGGGCCTGGGTCCAAGGACTTACATGCAAAAGAATGAATGACAAAATGAATACAGAACTGAAGAACTGAATGAAAAGATAACAAAGAGCCAGGAAACATGGAAGCCGAAATCTCCTTCCTCTCTGGCCTTAAGAAAAGCATTCATTCATTTTTTCATTCATTTGTTACAGAGAAGTAGTTAGGGTTACAGACCCAACTACTTAGTAGCCCCACCATGTCCTAGCTGGGTGACCTTGCTGCACCTCAGTTTCCCCATCTGTAAAATGGGAACAGTAAAGGTATGCTTCCTAGAATTAAATGACTCAATTCAGATAAAATGCTGCGAACAGCATCTGGCATGTGGTTCTTGTTCAATTCATGATACCTTTTATTTGGAACACAAATTCCAAAGCCCCGAATTAGGCTATCTACATAATTAGAAACATCTACCATGAGGCTGAAGTGAAACCAGGGCTGTCCTGGAAAATCTGCCATGTAAGGCTGTGAGAAAATGAGTAGAATAAAGAAACCAGTTAATCACACCAAGGGGATGCAATCAGCAAAATCCAGAATTCAGGAAACTCCACCGGACCAATGGCCCAGTTTCTTCAACAAATAAATTAAAAGGGAAAGAAAGAAAAAGGAGCACTGGTGGGAACCTGTTGATGAACAGAAACTTTGGTTGTATAAACCAATTGGAGTGTGTGGACCTGATTCAAACAAATAGCGATGGCTTTCAGATTCATTGAAAAGAAGAATCCATAACAAGAAGGATAATAGCAGGTCAGGAAGCTGGAGGCCACTGTTCAGATGCTGGGCCTGGGCCCAGGAGAGGCCTCACCCCATATCGGCGCAGCCTGGCCTGGCTTGGCCCAGCAGCAGCCGCAGGATGGACACGTGTGCTACCTAGTGGCTCAGATGGCAGGGCTCTTACTCTTCAAAGGTGAAGTGTCGTCTATGGAGACAAGCCCAGGAGAGTGTGAGGTGTTTGCTCTACCATCTCTCACCCCCTATGGTTGCCCCAGCCGGGAAAGGGCAGAGGTACCCACCTTCTGGCAGTGAGGGCAGGGGAAGTTGTGAGTGGCGGTCTGCAGGTGGTGCTCCAGGGCCTCGGGGGTAGAGTATTTGTTGACACATTTGACACACCTATATGGGAAGGAGCAGGAGAGGTGACTGAGCAGTGTGAGGAGGCTGGACTGGCCCAGCCATTCTCCTCCCCCAGGGCCAACACTGCGAGGCAAAATTCTATGTTTAATTCATTCTTTTCCTTTAAAAAAAAATTTTTTTTTTTAAAGTAGGCTCCACACCCAATGTGGAGATTGAACTCATGACCCTGAGATCAAAAGTCACATGCTCTACTGACTGAGCCAGCCCGGTGCCCCAGAGGGAGTCTTTGATGAAAAAAAAAAAAAAAAAGAAAGAAAAGAAAATCAGACCATGTCACATCCTTGCTTAAAAGCCCCCACCTTGGCCTACAAGGCTCTAGTGGCTTGACCACTCCTACCTCTCAGACTTCATCTTTCTCCACGGTCCACCCCGCTCTGCTCCAGCCACCTTGGCCTCCTTAATATACCTTGAACACACAAAACTCTCCTATCTCAGGGCCTTTGTACCTGCTGTTCCTGCTACCTGGAACACTCTTCCTCAAGTATTCCCTTGGGCAGCACCTTCTTATCCTTCAGGTCTCACCTCAAATGAGGTGAGATGTCTTCCTTGAACACCCTGTCTCAAGTTGTCCCCTATGGCCCACCCCTGGGCACTCCCTACCACATCACCCAGTTTTGTTTTCTTCTTAGCACTTACTATCTATAATTATTATTTATGTATTTGCTTACTTGATTTGATCTGTCTTTTTCACCAGCAATTGGACTCTGGAGGCAGGGACAATATCTGTCCTGTTCATAACCTGATTTGAGCACCAGTGACAATCTGTTATGTGAAAGAATCAGACAGGCAAGCATCCAGGCCTGGCACCTTCTTGTTTCTGACCCTCAGTTTCCTCATCCACAAAATGGGGTAGGAATCCCAAATGGACATGCCCCTTGTTCATTCTTAAGATTGTCACAAGAGTCAAAGGACACAAGTGTGCCAAACAGCTCATAAATCACAAAGCATTATAAACGGGGTCTCCACTCTTTTTTTTTTTTAAGATTTTATTTATTTATTTGAGAGAGAGAGAATGAGAGAGAGCGAGTACATGAGAAGGGGGAGGGTCAGAGGGAGAAGCAGACCCCCCGCCAAGCAGGGAGCCCGATATGGGACTCGATCCCGGGACTCCAGGATCATGACCTGAGCCGAAGGCAGTCGCTTAACCAACTGAGCCACCCAGGCGCCCCGGGGTCTCCACTCTTAACATCACTGGCTGACAAGCCTTCAAACAGTAGTTTCAGGTCACAAGCCACTCTGAAGAAAAGATCCCTCCAGTCTCCCGACCATAAAAACATTTGCTAGCAAATGGGCCCATTTATGATGAGGTTCCAGTGAGGAATGCCACAGGTAGGTGGGAATTCAAGCCAAAAATAGAAACATGGGCCCTGACATCTGTACACCACGGCCACCAGGGGAAACGCACAGGCAGCTTGCACCTGTGGTAGGCCCAGCAGAACCCCCTCAGACCACACTCTGAAAACCACAGGCTAAATGCCTCCAGATGACAAGAAAGAAAGAGCAGGTCAGGTGGGAGTGGAGCTAGCGGGGGGACAGAGACCTTGCAAGCTGGTGAGGTAGGAGAGGGCAAGGACTCCACAGGCTTCAGCAGTGAGGAGACACTGATTTCTGTGGGAGGTAGCTTAGCCAGAACCATTAAAATTAAAACTTCCTGCCAGAAATTTCACCCTGTCACCCAAGGTAACATCCTCAGCATGGCGGCAAACCAATGTCATGTGCCTGCCGATATGACGTGCTGAGGACAGAGCGTTACTTTGTGATATTTCCTGCCAAGCATGCCAATCCCGCATCTAACCTGAGGTCAAATCACACAAACCCAAATTGAGGACATTCTACAAAATAACCGGCCTATACTCTTCAAAAACACCATGGTCATGAAAGACAAAGACCGAATGAGCAGCTGTTCCAGCTTAAAGAGAATAAAGAGACACAATCTAAAGTAACCTGTGATCCTGGCTTGGATCCCAGACCAGAAAAAACATTTACTTTGTCTATAAAGGATGTTATTGAAACAACTGGAAATTTCTGATAAGGTCTGCAGATTAGGAAACAGAACTGTATTGATTTAACTTTCTGATTTTGATAACTACACAGTGCTTCTGTAAGAGGTTGTCCTTATTTCCAGAAACTATACACTAAAGACAAAGGGTGAAAGAGCATCACATCAGCAAATTATCCTCAAATAGCTCAGAATATAATAAAGCCAATGTGGTGAAAAGTTAACATTTGGAAAATCTAGGTGAAGGATCTATATGGGAATCCTTTGTACTACTCTTCTATTTTTTCTGGAAGTCTGAAATTACATCAAAATAAGTTCCTGAAAGTGACTGAGGTATGGGGAAGGGGCTCGGAGTAGGTGGGGAATTCCTTTTCACTCATGCCCTTTTTTAATAATTAAATATTGTACTATATACACATAACTATTTTTTTTTAAAGATTTTATTTATTTATTTGACAGAGAGAGAGACAGTGAGAGCAGGAACACAAGCAGGGGGAGTGGGAGAGGGAGAAGCAGGCTTCCCGCTGAGCAGGGAGCCCGATGTGGGACTCGATCCCAGGACCCTGGGATCATGACCTGAGCCGAAGGCAGACGCTTAACGACTGAGCCACCCAGGCGCCCCACATAATTATTTTTTGAAGTAGGTAATCAATCTTTTTAAAAGCCCTCTTGAGGGTGCCTGGGTGGCTCAGTTGGTTAAGCGACTGCCTTCGGCTCAGGTCATGATCCCGGAGTCCCAGGATCGAGTCCCGCATTGGGCTCCCTGCTCGGCAGGGAGTCTGCTTCTCCCTCTGACCCTCCTCCCTCTCATGCTCTCTGTCTCTCATTCTCTCTGTCTCAAATGAATAAATAAAATCTTTAATAAATAAATAAAAGCCCTCTTGATTTAAAATTTTTATTATTGCTTTTTTTTTTTTTTAGTAATCTCTACACCCAATGTGGGGCTCGAACTCACAACCCTGAGATCAAGAGTTGCACGCTTTTCCGACTGAGCCAGCCAGATGCCCCTCCCGCATTGATCTCTGACCTGCAAAATCACTTCTAGGAACTTATTTATAAGTAAGCAAAGATGTATGTCCAAAGTTGTTCTCTGTAGTGTTGTATGTAATGATGAGAAACTGGAAATAACCTGACTATCCTGCAATCAAGGACCAGTTACATAAATGTGGCATGTACAATGGAATGGTAAGCAGCCACTGAAAAGGCTGGGGCAGGTCTGTTTGTACTGAGATGCAAAGATGTCCATATTACAGTTGCAAGTGATAATGCACACCACGTGTACAGAGTGATCCCATTAAGTTTCAGTCAGTTTGTTGGAAGTTGTGGGACATGAAGATGGCGTGATGAATTTTCACCAAAGTCAGTAACTGTTTGGGATGTAGCCTGTGGTAGTTATATCTATAAACATGCTTATTACGGACATAGACCAAATAACATGTACCAAGAGGTTAATAGGGATTATTTTTTGTTTGCAGGGTTTTGGTTTTTGTGCGATTTAAAAAAAATTTTTTTCTCGGGGCTGCCGCCGGGGTGCCTCAGTCGGTTAAGTGTCTGCCTTTGGCTCAGGTCATGATCCCAGGGTCCTGGGATCGAGCCCCGCATTGGGCTCCCTGCTCAGCTGGGAGTCTGTTCCTCCCTCTCCCTCTGCACCCCTCACCAGTCGTGCTCTCTCTCACTTGCTCTATCAAATAAAATCTTTAAAAAATATTTTTTTCTCTGCATTGAACTTAGGAACTTTTGTAATCAGGAAAAAATCAATAAATCTTATTTTTAAAAGGAAAAAGTAAATATATAGCATATATAGAGTGGCATGCATAAAATTCACTTGAAAGGTTTGGGGTTTGGGGAGGCAGCATAGACAGGCCAAGGCAATGTGGTCCAAAGGGAGCAGCGCAGATAGACCAATGGGGCCTGGACGCCTGAAAATAGGATGAAGGCCCTATACCTGCTCAAACATTACTGTGAGAGAGAAATAAATTCTCACTCATTTATGCCACTATTATTTGGAGCCTCTACTGCTTGCAGCCAAACCTATATCTAAATTGTACAAATAATAATTGCAGCAATAACATTTATTGAGCACCTACGATGTTCCAGGTATCATGTTCAAGAGCCTCATAGTTTTTTTACCTGATCCTCATAAATAATCCAATATGGTAGGCACTATAGTTATCCCCATTTCAAAGATGTGGACACTGAGGCCCAGAGTGGCCAGATACCTTGCCAAGGTCATCTCCTGGGCTTGTAGTCAAGCTGGGATTTGAGCACAGGCAGGTGGCTCCTTATCATTACTCAAGATAGCATTCCACCCTTGGGTCATCCAGATGGTGGCCTGCCTCCTCGGGTCTTACCTTTGGGCCAGGAGATCCAATGGCTACAAAGGGTTACTGGCACTGTAACCCTCACACAAGAACCTAGGAGAAGAGATTGACTGTAGACACAGGGCCATCAGCATTGGGCTCAACCCCTAGCCTACAAATTCCAAGACCAGAGCTGTGAGGCTTCCAAGGTTCCAGACAAGAATTTGAATCTCAGCTCTGCGCTGACACTGTTACTGATGAGGGCACTTCTCCTCTCTGAGCCTCAGTGTCCTCATCTTCAAAATGGGGAGAACGTCAGTGTCATGGACTGAACCGTGTCCCTCCAAACTTCGTATGTTGAAGCACTGACCCTCAATGTGATGGTATTTACAGATTTACAGATGGGACCTTTGGTGGGGGTGTGTGTATGATTAGGTTTAGATGAAATCATGAGGGTGGGGTCCTCATGATGACAAAGTGCCCTTATAAAAAGAGATCATGGGGCGCCTGGGTGGCTCAGTCATTAGGCGTCTGCCTTC